CCGCCTTGCTATTTTTAGAGACAAGGTCTTGCTCTTGCTCAGGCTGGTCTCCAACTCTTGAGCTCAAGCAGTCACCTGCCTCGGCCTCCCAGAGTGCTAAGCCCAACATCTGCATTCTGCATGAGTGACCTAACTGCCTCAACTGAATTTGCCACTGAAATATAGTTATTGGAGAAATATTATGGGTAAATTAATGAACTTTCAGACACTTTATTCATTTTTTTTTCCATGTATAAAAAGGAACAGTAATAGTGCCTCATCAAACTCTCCTTTCACCAGCCTCCTGATTTCCTACCTACTTCCTGGGCTCCAAAAATATTTGCACAGTAGGTAAGTGAATGAATACACAAATGAATGAATACCGAGTTCATACTATTTGAGAATTAGTAAGCAATGAACTCCAAGAAATACAATTCTACTGAAACAGAGGCTAGCCATAGAAATCTCAGCATGAGGAGAATAAATCTTGGGTCCCCACTTTTAGGATCAAGTCACAACCTACACAGTCAAACACCATCACATTAAGTTTCAGTGGATTCCACGTTTCTCCCCAGATACTCTGAGGCTGGGCTTGCAGGTGTGGGTCACTGTGGCTGGCCAACAGTAGGTTTTTATGTTCACCTTCTCCTGCTATCATAAGGCATATACTTAAGCTTATATGCAAAATATAATAAAATGCCATATTGATGTATCAGCAAACATTTACTGAGCACTTTGTTATATGCCAAATGCTTTGTATAAATTATCTCATTTAATCATTCCAACAACCACGTAAGCCAGGTACTTTTCATTATCCACATTTTGCAGATAGAGAAACTAAGGCAAAATTAAGCTAAATAACTTGCCCAAAGTTCACATAGATAATAAGTGGGTTAAAAAAAAAAAAAGTCAGGGTGGTGCTGTGGCTCAAAGGAGTAGGGCACCAGCTTCATATGCCGGAGGTGGCTGGTTCAAACCCAGCCCGAGCCAAAAACTTCAAAAAAAAAAAAAAAAAAAGTCAGGGCTCTGTGTCTGTAGCTCAGTGAGTAGGGCGCTGGCCACATACACTGAGGCTGCTGGGTTTGAGCCTGGCCCGGGCCTGCTAAACAATGACAACTGCAACCAAAAAATAGCCAGGTGTTGTGGAGGGTACCTGTAGTCCCAGCTACTTGGGAGGCTGAGGCAAGAGAATCGTTTAAGCCGAAGAGTTGGACATTGCTGTGAGCTATAACACTATAGCGTTCTACCAAGGGTGACATAGTGAGACTTTGTCTCAAGAAAAAAAAAAAACCAGAATTCCAAACTAACTTTTATGCTAATACATTCATTAGGATATGTATGTATATGTAGACACAAGTACTATACTCAAAAAGTCAAGCTGAATTAGGTTCATTAAAATATAATTATACAAGTAAGTATTTACCTGTGTAAATCCCCCTACCTGTTGAGAAAGGAAACTCTGGCTGGGAATATATTAATGTTTTGCAGAGCAAATAATGCAACTGTACTGCCTGGCAGCCAATTTCAACCTCTTCTCTGGGGAATGACACCCTAACTGTGCTCTAGATTTGCTTTGTGGAGAATCTCTATGCATGTGGGTTTTGTGCTATTTCATTTATGTGAACAGAACTGAAGGAATAAATGGTTATTCTGTGACTTGTGCTTGATTCTGCCGTTATTAAAAGAGAACGATTTTGTTCACCTCTGTCTGTATCATTACCCTCTTTTTCCTCATAGGAGACAGGGAAATTTAATTTGATTCTTTTAGGTCAAACCAGTGCTGTTGTTAGGCTGGTTTTTCCACTGAAGGCATATTTGACATCTTACAAAGCATTTCCTGGAGTGTGGGGTGGAGTTGGGGTGGGATGGAGGAAACAAAACAAAGTATTTCAATGGCTCTCTTTCCTCCGCAGCTAAATTGGTCGCTAAAATGCCCAGTGAAACATTTAAAATCACATTAACACAAATCCACACGCTTACCGGCTGCCACCCCGAAGGTAATGAAGAGATAGTGCACGTTGGCGGCGTAGGCGCTCAGCACCCAGCCCAGGGAGTTGACCAGCCCTCCCACGATGGCCGTCCGGCGGCAGCCGCAGGTGTTGATGAACAGGCCGATGAAAGGTCCTGCCACAGAGCATGGGAAACAGAATTGACTAATGGCACTTGATTTTCATTATTTCTTAGTAAATCTTCATGTGAAGACAAAGAATAAAATGTTATTAGGGCTGTTAAACAAAAGAAAAGAAAATCCCTCATTGCCTTTTTTTTTGAGACAATCTCATTATGTGATCATAGCTCACAGCAACCTCCATCTCTTGGGCTTAAGCGATTCTCTTGCCTCAGCCTTCTAAGTAGCTGGGACTACAGACACCTGCTCCAACGCCCAGCTATTTTTTTGTCACAGTTGTCATTGTTGTTTAGCTGGCCCAGGCCAGGTTCAAACCCGCCAGCTTGGGTATATGTGGCTGGTGACCTACCCACTGAGCTACGGGTGCCACTTCCCACATTGCTTTATGTGACAAAAAATTGTTAGTGTGCAGAGATGGCATTAAATAATTTCATCACAGAGCACAAGGTTCTGGGTTTTCATCAAAGACAGACCTGAGGGGCTCGGCACCTGTGGCTCAACCGGCTAAGGCGCCAGCCACATATACCTAAGGTGGCAGGTTCGAATCCCCAGCCCGGGCCCGCCAAACAACAATGACGGCTGCAACCAAAAAATGGCCAGGCGTTGTGGCGGGCATCTGTAGTCCCAGCTACTTGGGAAGCTGAGGCAGGAGACTCGCTTGAGCCCAGGGGTTGGGGGTTGGTGTGGGGTGTGGTGCCCTGTCTCTCTCCCCGGGGGAAGCGTTTGGGTCTCCGTCTCAAAAAAAAAAAAAAAAAAAAAAAGACAGACCTGAAATAAATAAACATTCATTCTTTTGTCTATAACAGAGGTTCTGAACTAGTGGGCTAGCGCTATATCTTTCTGTGAGTATTTTGTTGGTCCCAAATTAATTTTTTTAAATGTCTGGAATCCTAGCAGTCTGGGAGGCTGAGGGGGGCAGAGACCAGCCTGAGCAAAAGTGAGAAATACTATCCAGGTGTTGTGTTGGGCACCTATGGTCCCAGCTATTCGAGAGGCTGAAGCAAGAGCATCTTTTGACCCCAAGAGTTTGAGGTTGCTGTGAGTTATGATGCCACAGCACTCTAGCCTGGGCAACAGAGCAAGACTCTGTCTCAAAAAAAGAAAGAAAAGACAAGTCTGGGATCTGTTGCCAACATTTAAAAATTAAGAGAATTCACAAAAAATACAGTGGCTACACAGACTATCTTTCCAGGGTCAAAATGGACTGGAATGTTATAGCTGGGGTCCCTGTTTGGCTGGCTCACACTCCTGGTCTCCTTTACATTATCTGTGTGGCCCCTTTATGCAAAAGTTTTGGATTCCAGGCCTAAGAGGAGCACACCAAGAGGGTTCTCAGAACTCCTATGCTTCAGACAGGGAATGTATTGCCTGTTTTTAAGAGGACACCCCAATGGAAGACATCCTCTTCACTTCATTCACCCTCCAGCCCCAGCTGACCTGCACATCCCTTGTCCAGGCTGTGTGTTTTTAGATCACTGTGTGGAGATTCAGGAGTACATTTCATCATGCAAGATGGGACAGTCCTCATAGCAGTGCCATACTTTGTGATACACATTCTGATTGTGTCCTTTGCTTTGATATTCTAGTTTTTAATTGTCAACCCTCTTTGTTACCTTCCTGATTGGGGGAAATTTCTGAAGCTGAATGCTTACTTGTGAGCAATGATTCTTTTCTCAAATAGCAGTCCAGCTCTTAGCAATACAATGGGAGGTATGTATAATACTCAATATTCAGTAAGATGGTACATTTTAAACATCTAATTTTTGATCATTATTACCTTGCATAGTTACTAAACCCTACGTGCAGGTGGGACTATTTCAAGTTAAAAACTTGTTAAACTCTCAAGAGCTACCTCTTGTTAGCCCAAACTGAAATAAAATTTTCCTTTAAAGTTCTAATGTATTTTATATGCATTTTTGCACACAGTCTGCTAACAAGTTTTTTTCATTTTCTTTCTTTCTTTTTTTTTGTCTAGTGGTTTTGAGAGGGCCTAATTCTAAAAATTATGTTGGTAAAGACTTATTGACTTAATTAACCCTGTTACATTATAGGAAATAATCCAGTAGGTAAACCTCTTAGAATAGCCTATTTTTATGTATATGATGTATAGCATAAAATATGCACATTATAGAAATAATATATAAAATAAGCACATTGATACAAACATCTGAGGGAGTTACTGGGGGCAAGGGAAATTCAGATAGCATAAGTTAAAGATGTTTCTTTGATTTCTTTACACATATTTTTATTTTTCTAAACTCCTGGTCACTTGACCACACCAAACATGGATGAGTGGGTAAAAAAGAGAAAAATGTGCGACTTGTTGGCTTGCTGTTAACAGCCCTTTGAAAGGTCAAGAGATCATAGTTCAGTAGCACAATCATATTTTCCACATTGCAGAAAGGACCCAGAGCAAATTTTTCTCAGACACTGTATGTCTCTGAAAATCGCACTAAGGTGGCATTTGAGGATAACAAAAGGAGTTAATTCCCAAATTAGTGCAAATATTCATGCCTGGTAGAATTTTATGAATCAAAAAGAATTAACTGCTTTACTGATAAAAACATTACATTGTTAGTTAATCAACTCGGGCTTGCTTGGAGCCTCAGGCATTTAAGATTTGCAGATGGGCAAAGCCAGACCCACAAAACTGTGATGCCTCCACAGTCACAAAATAGTACTTTAAAAAAAATTCAAACCCAAGCTTTCTGACTTTCAGTTTCATTTTCTACCCATTGCTTGGTGATGGTCTGCTAGTAGCTCCAAAATAGAATTGCCATTTCAACAAAATAAAAGAACTCCCCACATCATCTAGGGAGAGGAGAATATACAGTTGGATTCTGTCCTTTGGCCATGACTCACGCTTCTGTAGAGCAATTCAGGGAATGAGAGCATACTCATTATCAGACTCTTCCTCTTTGGAAGGAATCTGAATCTTGAATCATCTCCTACATAATAAATTGTCATGTTGCTGCCAGGAACACTCTTAGGAAATCAACATGTTTTGCCTACCCAGCAGGTGACAGGTTGGAAAAAGCTCAGGTGAGCACAGGAGAATGTGGGGTAAGGAAAGAGTTAGGAGGCTTTAATCAATGGTGCTGTGCCTTGGTTGAACGCTGGAGTCACTTAGAAGACTGAAAAATAGTTCTGATTCTTGGGGCCCATCCTAAGAGATTCTGATTTAATGTTCCAGGTGCAATGTGAACATTGAGTTTTGTCTTTTTTTTTTAATTTTAAAAATAAAATAAATTTGTCTTGTCTAATTCCATTTTGGCAAGCATTGGGGATTTTTTAAAGCACCCCAAACAGATCTAATATGCCGCCAGAACTGATAACTGACTGCTTTAAATCTACTTTGCAAGTAAATTACCTTCATTGGCCTACGGATTCACTTCACCATAATATGGTGTCCACCAAGAATTAATTCCTCAGACAGCTATCATCAAAAAGGCTGCTGTGGATACGAATGAGGTGATTGATTACATTTCATTAAAAGTTAGGTCTGGCACAGGGGCTTGTGACTGAAATTCTCTTTCTTTGGGAGGTTGAGGCAGGAGGATTGTGGGAGGCCAGGAGTTTAAGACCAGGCTGTGCAACATAGTGAGGCCTCCTGTCTCTACAAAGATTTGAAAATTAGCCAGGCATAGGGGTGTATACCTGTAGTCCCAGCTACTCAGAAGAGGCAGGAAGACTGCTGGAGCCCAGGAGTTAAGGCAGCAGGGAGCTACAATGATGCTATTACATTCCAGCCTGGGTGACAGAGTGAGGACCTGTCTCAGGAAAAAAAAAGTTGAGACCTTCTGCTAGACATGGCAGATCCATGCTAGTAAAGAATAAAACAATGCAATAAGAAGCTTAGCAAAGAAACCTTTGATTTAAATTTAACTATTCAACTTCTGGACTTATCAGACATCTACATTTTTTTTCATCAGTACACGGAACATACTCCAAAATTGATCACATCTTAGGCCACAAATCTAACCTCAGCAAATTTAAAGGAATAGAAATTATTCCATGCATCTTCTTGGACCATCATGGAATAAAAGATAAACTCAGCAACAACAAGAATTCGCAGACTTACAAAAAAACATGGAAACTAAATAACCTTATGCTGAATGATAGATGGGTCAGAGCTGAGATCAAGAAGGAAATTACCAAACTTTTAGAACAAAATGACAATGAAGATACGAGTTATCAGAACTGCTGGGACATCGCAAAGGCAGTCCTAAGAGGGAAATTTATAGCATTGCAAGCCTTCCTCAAGAGAACGGAAAGAGAGGAAGTTAACAACTTAATAGGACATTTCAAGCAGCTGGAAAAGGAAGAACATTCCAATCCCAAATCCAGTAGAAGAAAAGAAATAACCAAAATTAGAGCAGAATTAAATGAGATTGAAAACAAAAGGATTATGCATCAGATCAATAAATCACAAAGTTGGTTTTTTGAAAAAATCAACAAAGTCGATAAACCTTTAGCCAACCTAACCAAGAAAAAAAGAATAAAGTCTCTAATCTCATCAATCAGAAATGGTAAAGATGAAATAACAACAGACCCTTTAGAAATTCAAAAAATCCTTAATGAATA